CTGTCTCTTTATGGGTGCATTTAGGCCATATACATTTAGTGTAATTATTGATTGGTGTGAGTTTATTACTGTCCTTTTGTAGTGCTTTTTTGTTGTGGTGCTGACGTTTTCTTTGTTCCTCTTACTCTCTTATGCTCAATTCCTTTTGTTTGTGGATTTTTTTAATTTCTTTTGTATTCTAGATTTTGTTTTTACTGAGAGGTTTTGTTTTTCTTTTTTCTTTTGATGGGTAGGTTTGTTAACTTTCTTTGTGGTTACCTTGAAATTTACTCTTATCTTCCTAGGTTTGAACCAGTCTATTATTACTTGGTATTGCCTTGCCTTTCTCTCCATTAGAAGGTTCTATACCTATACCGTTTATTCCCTCTTTTATTATTTTGATGTTGTCATTTACAGATGAATCTCTCTGGTTCCCTGTTGTAATGTTTTTGGTTTTGTATAGTCCTTGAGAGTTCATTTCCTAGGTTGGTATTTGCCTGGTATGATCCTGCATCCTAGATTCAGCCTGTGGTCTGATGTTGTTTGTTCACAGTCCAAAGGACTCCCTTTAATAATTCTTCTAAGTTTGGTTTTGTTTTTACATAGTGCCTTAATTTCTGTTTATCTTGAAATGTACTAATTTCATTGTCATACTTGAATGAGAGTTTCGCAGGGTATATTATTCTTGGCTAGCAATTTTTTTCTTTCAAGGTTTTATATATGTCATCCCATTGCCTTCTTGCCTGCATGGTTTCTGCTGAATAATCCGAGCTCAGTCTTATTGTTTCTCCTCTGTATGTGACTTTTTGTTTTTCTCAAGCTGCTCTCAAAATTCTTTCTTTGTCTTTTGTTATGATATGCCTTGGTGATTTTCTTTTGGGGTCTATCCTATATGGGGTTTGTTGAGCTTCTTGGATGGTCAGCTTTTCATCTTTCATGATATTGAGGAGGTTTTCTGTCAGCAGTTCTTCAATGATCCTCTGTTTTTTCTATTTTCTCCCCCTGTTCTGGAACTCCGATCACTCACAGATTTTTCCTTTTGATTGTATCCCACATATTTCTCAAGGTTTCTTCATTTTTCTTCATTCTCTTTTGATTTTTCCTGAAACAGTTGTATCCAAATGTTTGTCTTCAATTTCACTGATTCTGTCTTTCATCGTTTCAAACCTGGTCCTCAGCCCTTCTGTGACACTGTCCATTTCTAAAATCTTGTTGTTTATCTTTTGTATTTCTAATTGTTGCTTTGGTATGATTTCTAGTTGTGAATTTATTTTAGCATTTTGTTCCTGTATTATTTTCCTAAATTTTTCCATTTTTTTTTGGTCTGTATTTTCCATGAATTTGTTTACCTTTTTCATGAATTTGTCGATTTTTTCCTCATTGTTATCTGCTTTTTGCTTCAACCTTTAGATATCTGTGAATATCAGAGATTTGAATTCCCTGTCACTTAGTTCTAGTGCCTTTTCTTCTACTGGAAAGTCATCTGGTATTTTATTTTGGATGCCTACTGGAGTCATCGTTTTCTTTTTTTATATATGTTTTGATATTTTCTGTTGTCTTTGGGACATTCAGTAGTTATTTTCCTCGCTTATTGATTGTAGATTTGTTTTGTCCTTTTTTCTTTTATTTGGTTATGTCTGAGCAGGCATGCTGTGCATTCTTTGTTGTTTGCTCGTCTTTGGGCATGATACTTTTCACCTCCATGTCCAATGGTCATGGTCAGTTGCTCAGCTGTGGTGCAGCAGGGCAGGTCCAGCTAAACGGGAGTTTCTTGGATGGGTTGTTTGTGGAACGTACTAGGGCTGACAGGGCATGCTGGGAATCGGTGCAAGGCAGGTTCCAGTAGGCCGTGCCTGTGCTGCTCATAGGTTTCATGTTCACTGCACTGTGAAGGTGGGCAGGAATGAGGGGAGAGATTGTGAAGTGTGGAGCTAAGATGGGTGTGGGAAAGAGTAGAGAGAAGATAGAAAAACAGGAGCCAAAAGCAAAGAAAAAAACAAACAAAAAAGAGTGCTAAGGGAGCTTGCCATTGGAGTAGAGAGATGAGAGAGCAAGAAATTAAAAAAAAAAAGGAGGAAAAAAGGTAAAAGAAAAAAATAAATAAAAATTAGAAGAAAAGAAAAAGAAAACAAAGCCCCTAGGGATCCCACCTGTGTGGCTACGAAGACTGGGTAACTCCTAGGCCGCAAAGTACAGCCTGGCTAGAAGGGGTAGTGGTGTTACACAGCGCCAGGTATTCAGTAAACAGGAAAAAAAGGTAAGTGTAGAGAGACAATAAAGTGAGAAATGAAGAAAGACTAAAAGGGAAAAAGGGAGAAAAGAAAAGAAAACAAAAAAGATATCCCCAGGGATCCCACTGCATCGCTGCGCAGACTAAGGAAGTAACTCCCATGATGCGCAGTACAGCCCATCTAGAAGAGCCTTTCAAGCAGAGAAAAGAAAAAGAAAACAAACAAAGAAATCAAAACAAAGAAACATAAAGCCCCGGGGTTCCCACCAACGTGGTGGCACGGTTCAGGAAGTAGTGCCACAGTTGAGTGGCATTTCGTAGCCTTTCAGAAGGCAGCAAAGATGGCACACAGAGCCAGGTATTTGAGAGAAAGGAGCAGGAGGTGGTGAGAGGTATGGTAGAAACCAAAAGAAGCGGAAAAAAGCAACACCAGCAACAAACAAATGGCACTCAGGAAGCCAGCCACTGTGGGTGAGTGGAATCCAAGAAGCACAGGACTAAAGCTGGTGCCTCGTGGCCAAGAGACTGTGGCCACAGAAGTAAGAGGAGGCTGAGTGGGGTTGAAGAAGGGTGTGGGGTGGGAAAGGTATATCACTGGTTACTGGTTGTTCTGTCTCCTGCTGGGAGCTCCATGAAGCTGTTTTCCTGTACTCCCTGTTCACCAATCTCTGGTAGGAATCGAAGACGGCAAATCCGTGCTGCATTAGCTGCTTGGGACCTCTGCACGTATCTCTCCTCACTCTGTTTTCTGTCATTTTCTTACTCCATTAGGTGCTTGCCTGAGTTCTTTATCTCTTCATTTGATGCTTAGGATTTCAGGTTTGATGTTTGTCTCTGTTTAACTTCGTTTTTCAGGTCTTTGCTGTGGAGGGACTGCGTGGTGCTTCTGTCTACAGTGCCATGTTGCCCAGAAGTAGGCAGCATCTCTTGATGGGAGGAATAGCAAAGAATTTATGGCTACTTTAAATCTACAATGGAAGTCCTCCCCCATCCCTTCTAAAAACCCATTTTCTTTCCTTTGTAAGCAAACCATAATCCTAAATTAGGAATGCATTGCCTGGCCCCTCACCTTGGTATGGCTAACATGGAAGCCATCATATGGAAACAAATCACCCATTACCATAGACGTCCAAATCAAAATCTAGAAAATATTGTAATTCCTTTTCATCCACTGAGCTATCCTTCCAACTAAAAGTTGTATTGATAGAGAAGTGGGAACAAGGGACAGAAGCAAAGAAAAAGGGAAATAAGAGCTGCACAGTGGTACCTGGTAATGGATTCTACCCTGAGCAATAATAGCACAGGAATGGTGGCCAAGGTAGTAGTGCCAGGCTGGGCCAGATGGATAGCACTTGATTAATTAAATGAGTATAAGAAAAAATCCTAGTGATACGAAAGTGCCAATATTTACATAAAACCTTGTAATTTATGGAGCATCTCCCTATGTCCTATCACACTTATCCTCAGGGTAACTGTATGAAGTATTTAAGGTGATGCTGATTCCTATTTTGTAGTTAATTAAGCTAAGTTCCAGGACGTTTCATTAACCTGTCCAAAATCATAGCAGTATTAAAATGATAGAGGAGCCAGGATATAAGGAATTCTGATAACCAGCTGTCTGAGTTTGCTAGTGCTACTGTAACAGAAATACCACAAGTGGGTGGCCTTAAAGAACAGAAATTTATTATGTCACAGTTTAGGAGACTAGGAGTCCAAATTCAGGACACCAGTTATAAGGGAGGGCTGTCTCTCTCTTTTGGTTCTGGGGGAAGGTCCTGTCTCAGCTTCTGTAGCCCCAGTGTTCCTTGACAATCTTCACATGGCATCTGTCTCCCTCCCCCACCCATCTTTGTGCTTCTTGTCTCTTTCTTTGCTGCTCCTTATAACTCAGAAATGATTAAGGTTAGGGCACACCCTACAATGATGTGGCCTTGTTATGTAACAAAGAAAATTCTATGCCAAAGTAAGATTACATCCACTGGTATTTGTTGTTAGGTGCCATTGAGTCACTTCCCACTCATAGCGACCCTGTGTGCAACAGAATGAAATACTGCAAGGTCCTGCACCATCCTCACAATCATTGCTATGTTTGAGACCATTGTTGCAGCCACTGTGTCAGTTCATCTCCTTGGGGTCTTCCTCTTTTTCGCTGACCCTCTACCTTACCAAGCATGATGCCCTTCTCCAGGGAATGATCCCTTCTGATAACATGTCCAAATTATGTGAGATGTAGTCTCACCATCCTTGCTTCCGAGGAGCCATCTGGCTGTACTTCTTCCAAGAAGAAGTTTGTTTATCTGGCAGTCCATAGTATATTCAATATTCTTCACGAACAGCATAATTCAAAGGCATCAGTTTTTTGGTCCTCCTTATTCATTGTCCAGCTTTCGCATGCATATGAGGCGATTGAAAATATCATAACTTGGGTCAGGCATACCTTAGTCCTTAGAGGGACATCTTTGATTTTGAACACTTTAAAGAGGTCTTTTGTAGCAGATTTGCCCAATGCAATACGTCGTTTGGTTTCCTGACTGCTGCTTCCATAGGCATTGATTGTGGATCCGAGTAAAATGAAATTCTTGACATCCACAGGTATAGGGGTTAAGATTCCAACACTTATTTTGGGGGCAAACAATTCAATCCATAACACTAGCCCTGTTCTCTTTCCCAGTAAAACTTTATGCAAAAAATCAAATGTAAAACACAAAGTAAGCTTTAGGAAATGAGTTTTGAAATTTTACCAGGCAAAATATGTTCAAAGCAAATTAATATCCTTTTTTGTTTGTTTTAGCAGTGATTGATAGAAATCTTAAATGGGAGAGGATTGATTCTTCCCATGCTTCTGAACCAATGAAGAGAAAATGGGAAGCAAAACTGAAGCAAATTGAAGAACGAGCTTCCCAATATGAGAGGAAACCTTTGTCCTCAGTGTATAGACCAAGGTTATCCAAACCAGAAGAACCACCTTCTATTTGGAAACTGTTTTATCGACAAGCTGAAGCTTTTAATTTTGTTAAAAGCTGTAAAGAGGTAACTATCTCATCTCCTTCCATTTTTTTAAAGAACTACGGAGCCGTGGTGGCACAGTGGTTAAGCACTTGGCTGCTAACCAAAAGGTCTGCAGTTCAAATCCACCAGCTGCTCCTTGGAAACACTATGGGGCAGTTTTACTCTGTCCTATAGGTTCACTATGAGTCAGAATTGACTCGATGGCAACGGGTTTGATTTTTGGTTATAACAAGATTTTTAAAAATCTCATTTGTCTTCATCTTAGGTCATGTACTATACCAAGAGAATTTAATGGCAATCTTAATATCACAAGATTTAGGAATAATACCTCTGAATCATAAACCATTTAGTTTATATTAATAATGAAAAATAATGATATATGTAGTACCAATTAGTTTAAAAAGGAGCCCTGTTGGTGCAGTGGTTAAGTGCTTAGTTGCTAACCTAAAGATTGGTTGTTCAAACCCACCAGCTGCTCCTCAGGAGAAAAATGTGGCAGTCTGCTTCTCTAGAGATTTACAGCCTTGGAAACTCTATGGGGCAGTTCTACTCTGTCCTGTAGAGTTGCTATGAGTTGGAATTGACTCAATGGCAGTGGGGTTTAATTAAACATTTGTAATGACATTTAAGTGAAGCTGTGCTTCGAAGAAGAGCGATCATATTCATAGACTGAAAGAGAATGAAATTGCTGTCAATAAAACTAAAACAATACCAACAGAAATATGAGAAAATGAATGAATGGAGTGTGAGGTTTTTAGGAAGAAGAGAAAGGACAGTTGAATTTAAGAGATAGAAAACAAAAATGTGTCAAACATTATAAGCTTAGAGTAAGCCCTAGAACTTAAATCATAACGCCAAAGCAGACTTGTACTTTGTTTTCTACTATTTCCTTTTGTGCTTTAGTGTAGTAGGGTGGATTTATCATAATAATTGCCAACATATTAGGCAAATAAGAGGAAGAAGTGGTTACTACATGCCAGTCTCACCAAAAAATTAATAAATGAAGCAACAGATGTGTATTGCGCATCCTTTGCTGGGCACTGTGGAGAGTATAAAGAAGTAAAATGAAAAGAAGAGATGAATATGTGAAATCTAGTGTAAATATGCTGTGCCTCTGATCATTGAAGTTAAAAAAATTAAAAGTGTTCTAAGCTTTTTAGGAGGGGGACCTTCTTTCCCTAGTAAAGAGAAGCTCACTCTAAAGGTTAGGAAATACAAGAAAAACCTTTCTTATTTTGTAAATTCAGGCATGAGAATTTAAAAGATTAACAGAAAGCTGATTCATTTTAACTTGTATTTAATAAAAGATGGAATGGTATGATAGCTGGCCTTTCCAATTACTAGGCTATAATTATTTCAAAAACATTTTTAATAGGATCAGGTAACTGAGTCCTGTAGCTCCTCACTCTTATGAAAATGAAAGTTTAGTTCCTTTATAGGCTTAACAACTACCTTTAGCTTAGTGGAACCAAAAGGATCTTATGTGTTTATTCCTTTATTAGAAGACAGTCGTTATTACAGCAGATATAAATACTTATACTTAATCAAATACCACAGTAATTAGCCTTAAAAATTTGTTCCCACATACATTTTTATATGTACTAGAGAATTTTTTTTTTTTTTGATAAAGTTAGAATCACTTTTTTTTGTGCTTTGGATGAAAGTTTACAGAGCAAATTTATTTCTCATTAAACAATTAATACACATTGTTTTGTGACATTGGTTGCCACCTCCATGACATATCAGCACTCTGCCCTTCTCATCCTTGGGTTCCCTATTACCAGCTTTCCTGTCCCCTCCTGCCTTCTAGTCCTTGCCCCTGGGCTGGTGTGCCCATTTAGTCTTGTTTTGTTTTATGGGCCTGTCTGATCTTTGGCTGAAGGGTGAACCTCAGGAGTGACTTCATTACTGAGCTAAAAAGGTGTCTGGGGGCTGTACTCTAGGGTTTTCTCCAGTCTCTGTCAGGCCAGTAAACTTGGTCTTTTTTTGTGAGTTAGAATTTTGTTCTACATTTTTCTCCAGCTCTGTATGGGACCCCCTAATGTGATCCCTGTCAGAGCAGTCAGTGGTGGTAGCTGGGCATCATCTAGTTGTGTTGGACTCAGTCTGGTGTAGGCTGTGGTAGTTGTGGTCCATTAGTCCTTTGGACTAGTCTTTCTCTTGTGTCTTTGGTTTTCTTCATTCTTCCTTGCTCCAGATGGGGTGAGACAAGTGGAGTATCTTAGCTGGCTGCTCACAAACTTTCAAGACCCCAGACGCTACTCACCAAAATAGAATGTAGAACATTTTCTTTATAAACTATGTTATACAAATGGAGCTAGATGTCCCCTGTACTAGACAATTTATTAATTAATCTTAGCCCAAGTTATTTACAATAATGCTTAGGTAGTTTTGAAAAATAAATTTAATTTAATAAATTAGCAAACTGTGACAGGAAGTGAAACTATAGTGATAGAATTAAGAATGGCTTTTAATCATTTTTTAAAAAATCTGGATATTCTAATTCTTTCTACCTTGTACATGTATTATTTGAGTGTTTAAAAGTAAATAAATATAAGTACTTAGATTTTGATTGGCATAGATCTAACGATTATTTTTCTTTCTTTTAATAATACAAATGTTTAAATTCCAGGTTTCCAAAAATTGAAGGGTAAAATTCTCTCTGAACATTTAATAGCTACAGTTGAATTTAGTTTGCATTTTATGAATTTTTTAAATATTATTTTTGATTTTACAAAGGATATTCATGTATTTGCTTTGGAATGCAAAGTGGGAGATGGACAACGTATTTACCTCGTAACAACCTATGCTCAGCTTTGGTTTTACTATAAATCCCGGTAAGTAGTTTATAAACGAACAACACATTAAGCTAACATTATGTTTATTTCATATAGTAATTTTGTGAAACTAATTCAGATTGAATTGGCTTTCACAGTTCATGACCACAGAATCAGTTACTTGTTTGATGTTAGAATTGAGTTCTAGAGTTCTCCTGTTATACCAAAAACCAAACCCATTGCTGTTGAGTTGATTCTGACTCACAGTGACCCTATAGGACAAAGTAGAAGTGCCTCATTGGGTTTTCTTTTTTTTTTTTTATATTGTACTTCAGGTGAAGGCTTACAGAACAAATAGTTTCTCATGAAACAGTAGTACACATGTTGTTTTATGACATTGGTTAACAACCCCACAACATAG